TGGGGAGCAATCCGGACTAGACTAAGTTGCTCGAATTAGGACTCATTCTATGCATCTGCTCTCCCACAATATGGCGCTGGGAGAGAAGTAAACAGCTTCCGCACAGCTGCCTCCAGTTCAACCAATTAACTGTAGGACTTGCTCCTGATTGGAGAGCAGCGTACTCAGCCGAGTTGGGATTGGCGGAGGAGGACTATAAAGGAGGAGAGAGACGGCATGCACCGGGAACATCTATGGGGAACATCTAAGGGAACCCGTGCAGCCCCCGAGAGAACTGGCCGGCGGGGTGCCGCTCCCCTGCGGAAGTGGGGAATGCGGCCAGGGGGAACTGCCCTTCCACGGAGGTGGAAGGGATAGTAGCCAACCCGGGAAGAACCAGCAGCAAACCCGGGGAGGGCCGAGCAGACGAAAGAACAGCGCAGGGTCCTGTGTCGTTCCTCCACGAAGAGGGGGAGCGACATAATGGTGCCGTGACTCGGATAGGAAACCTAGGACGGATATGAAACTTAGGAGGGAAGAAACGGGAAGAACTGGGAAAATATCGGAGAGAGAAACTAGCAAACAGCCTAGGGAAATTATCGGAGAGAGAGACTAGCAAACAGCCTAGGGAAAAGCCGGACGAAAAAGGAGCCGGAAGAAGCTATTGAAAGCCTAGGCATAGACTCGGATTCGGACTACGGGGGGAAGCTGGGAGAAATCTCTAAGGTCGAAAGCGAAAGTGAAAGCTAGAACAAACAGACTCGGACGCGGACTGTGGGGAGAGGCCAGGAGAAATGAGGGAGGAATATCGTTGGAGGAAAGCTTGGGGAAACATACCGGGTAGAGAAAAATGTTAGGGAAATTGAAGCCGCGGGGGGCAGGCCAAGGCGGAAACGAAAGCCACTTTGGGATTCTCAAGTTAGCCCGGGAATAGGGGGCGAAAAGTTAAAACCAGAAGCTGAGACGCAAGCCAGGTTGGGATCCGTCTGATTAGCCCGGGGAGCAAAGGACGGGAAGCCAAACCGTGGGGCGGAGACGTACGCTGGGTTGAATTCGCCAGGCTAGCCCGGGGAACTTAGATTGAATCCTAGTGGCGGAGACGCAAGCTACGCTGTGTTACTCGCGGAAGCCGCCGCGTGCAGAGAGAGCACGGGGCGTGAATAGATAGGGAACGCTGGCGTAGGCCGTGGTTCAGACGCGAAAGGGTTAAGCGTGGAGACCGCGGACCGCGCAAAGCCGGGAAGCCGCGCAGATGAGGCGCGGGCTGAAGTGGCGAGGTGCCGGGAAGCTGCGGGGATAAGAGAAACAGAAGTTTTAGAAGCAAAGTGAGAGAAATAGGAATGCTGGAAGATAGAAGTAAAATGGGAGAAATAGGAATGCCCGGAGATAGAGAAATAGAGAAAAATAAGGCCTCCCCTCAACATGCCAATTAGAAGGCTTGGATTCGGTCTGCCCAATTAGTGAGGCGATGAGCACCTGGGCGGCTAGCCGCAGGTCACCGAAGACAGGCACGAATTAACATCAGTAAAGCTTCCCCACAATGCAACAATTAGGAGGCTTGGATTCGGTCTGCCTGATTTAAGGCGGTAAGCGCCAGCAAAGCTCGACCAGAGTATGAGCTGCAGGTCACCGAAGATAGGCACGAACCAACACTAATAAGTCTCCCCCACAATAAGGCAATGAGAAGGCTTGGATTCGGTTTGCCTGATAGGTTTTGTAAGCCCCTGCGGGCAGAGCAGAGCATGCGCTGCAGGGGCACCGAACACAGGCATGCATCAGCGCCTAAAAACCTCCTCACAATGGCGAAGAGAGGACCCGGATTCGGTTTTCCTGATTGATAGGACTTGTAAGAGCCTGTGGCAACTCTAGCAAGTACAGCAGAGTGTGTGCTGCGGGACACCGAAGACAGGCGCGTATCAACGCCAAAAAATAAAAAGAAAGGGGGATCTGTGGGGAGCAATCCGGACTAGACTAAGTTGCTCGAATTAGGACTCATTCTATGCATCTGCTCTCCCACAATATGGCGCTGGGAGAGAAGTAAACAGCTTCCGCACAGCTGCCTCCAGTTCAACCAATTAACTGTAGGACTTGCTCCTGATTGGAGAGCAGCGTACTCAGCCGAGTTGGGATTGGCGGAGGAGGACTATAAAGGAGGAGAGAGACGGCATGCACCGGGAACATCTATGGGGAACATCTAAGGGAACCCGTGCAGCCCCCGAGAGAACTGGCCGGCGGGGTGCCGCTCCCCTGCGGAAGTGGGGAATGCGGCCAGGGGGAACTGCCCTTCCACGGAGGTGGAAGGGATAGTAGCCAACCCGGGAAGAACCAGCAGCAAACCCGGGGAGGGCCGAGCAGACGAAAGAACAGCGCAGGGTCCTGTGTCGTTCCTCCACGAAGAGGGGGAGCGACAGATATGTATATTATTAAGATTTTTTCATATACATTGCTAACAACTCATCAGAAAATGTATACCACTTTAAATACCTCCAGTAATGTAACCCCTAAATTTTCCTTTTCACCCCACAGATACTCCTCTCCTCATCGATGTCTTAGGAGGAAAAGATTTTAAGGGTAAATTGAGGTTCCCTCAGAGAGGGCAAACAGTGGTACCGAACTGTGCCACACAGCAAATCCATCAGGTAAATCAAAGGTAAATCCATCAGAGACAGCAAATGCTGGTGGAGGAGAAAGAGGGCTGGGAGAATGCTTCTTCCTTTCCTGCTGTCTCACTGCTCTTACGTGGTGGAAGGAACCGAGGATGGGACCTCAGCAGACCTAGACTCGAGAAGTGGCTCTGACGCTCACAGGTTGTATGACCTTCAGGTGAGTCAGCTAACCTTTCTGGCCTCCACTGCTTTATCTACAAGAGAATGTTATCCTCTGTTGGAACATTTATCTCAGTCTGCCTCGCACTACAACTAGACATGTTCCAGCCTTGCTCCTACTAGGGAATTGCTGCCTTTGTGTGAGAACGGAGCTAACTTGGGCCTTCTGTGCTTATAACCTGGGTTCCATCCAGCTTCTAGGAACAAGTCCACACGTGCACCACAGTTGGGGTCTCTGCTTTGTGCTTGGCAGCCACACAGCCCATCCTCTGGACTGCTATCAGACTGAGTCCAGAAACACTGGCGACTGAGGTGAAGTATGGAGGAAAGAGGGAGAAAATAACTCACTAGTATGCAAGGCGCTATGTGGACAAGATGGTGGTTACAACCATGTTGGAAAGACAATGAAGTAAACTATGTGAAAGTAGGACTGTAGGACACAGAGAAGTTAGTCCAAAGGTGGAAACTTTAAAAATTGCATTGTCTTCCACAAACTGTAACTTTTTGACCATACACTCTCAATTCAAACTGCAGTCTCTGAATGCTAACTGGTTCTTGGCTACATCAGTGATGGTCCCCAATAAGCCAATAACCCCCAGTCTCATCTATCCTTTTTGGTCTCTAACCCTAAGTCCCTTGAAAGTGAATGCTGTCACTCAACAACCAGAAATTGAGGAAGTGACCTGTGCCCTTTCTGCCTGGCTCTCTCTAGCTCTCCCCAGTATCTTTTCCAAATCTGATAACAACGGGGCAGGTAAACAAGACAGGATCCTGGCAAGTGCTCAGCCAGTGAATGGTATGTCATTCTTTCCTTTTTGTTGACAAAAAAAAAAAATGTTTCTGTTGAGTCTTTTGAAGTAGGGCATATATATTCTCCATTGCCTGCCAAACAGCCCTTCCGCCTCCCTTTCTTCCTAAGGGTAGGTCCTTGCCCCCACTCTAAGGGATGAGTCTTGATTTCTCAAAGCCAATCATAGTACCTCCATCCCTCTTGGTCAATCATTGGTCCAAGAACAGGAAAGTGACCCAGTCTGGCCAATAAAACATAAAGTGTATGCAGGGAGCAGAGATAAGATGCCATGTCACCAAGGCTTACCCTTTCCCCTTATTTTTTTGACATCATTAAATGACAAGCTAAAAAATGAAAACCAACACATGAGACTGTGGAACAAAAAGAAAGAGTCTGGGTTCCTGATGGCTTGGTTGAAACTTCACACCGCTACAAACCAACACACTAGTCACCAGCTCCAGGTACTTGGAGCCATATTTTTGGTAACTTGCATCCAAATGTATTCTCAACCAATACATGGGGGCTCTCTACCACTGCTGCAGAGAGGGGAAACAGTGAGGACTCCTGTCTACCTCCTCACCAGGAAGTGAGCAAAGGTCATGACATCTCTTTTCAAGTAATGTTCTCTCCAAAAGCCAGCCCTGTCTTCAATGCCAGGCCTCTTCTTGTCTTGCCCACATTTGGAGGTAGTGGTGGCATGATAGGAGATGCTTCAGGTTCTGTTTGCCTAATTCTTTTCGATTGTAGGAGTGGAGAGTGGCTGGCTTTTAACTTATAATATGAGACATCTGGATGTTTTTATTCTCAACGAGATTCTGCTTGCTAATTCCAGATAGAATGGAATAACTTCACTTTGTATTTCATCTCTTGCTCAAAATAGCCATGGTATCATTTTTAGTTCATTCATTTTTATTTTATTCAAAATATAGGGGACAAAAGAGAGAGGGGGCCGGCGCTGTGGCTCACTTGGTTAATCCTCCACCTGCGGTGCCAGCATCCCATATTATAGGCACCAGGTTCTAGTCCCAGTTGCTCCTCTTCCAGTCCAGCTCTCTGCTGTGGCCCAGGAAGGCAGTGGAGGATGGACCAAGTGCTTGGGCCCCTGCACCCACAGGGGAGACCAGGAAGAAGTACCAGGCTCCTGGCTTCGGATCAGTGCAGTGCCAGCCATAGTGGCCATTTAGGGGGTGAACCAACGGAGGGAAGATCTTTCTCTCTGTCTCTCTCTCTCACTATCTAACTCTATCTGTCAAATAAAAAAAAAAAGAGAGAGACAGAGAGAGATCTTTCATTTGTTGGTTCACTACCCAAATAGCCAGGAGCCAGGAACTCAGTCCGGGTCTCCCACATGGTGGGCAGGGACCCAACTACTTGAGCCATCATCTGTGGCCTTCCAGGGTATGCATCAGCAGAGAGCTGGAATCAGAAATGAATTTGGACTTGAACTCAGGCACTCTGATACGTGATGTGAATGTGGCAAGTGGCATCTTAACTGCCTCACTAAATACCTAAGGGGTCATGCTTCTAACAAGCACACCATGGGACTATCCTATGGGACACCGTGATGTCTATTCTCTGCCTGATGGTAGAATGTGACTTGGCCCCAACACGGTACTGGTTGCACTGTTGCTATTCTGCCAGGGGCAGAAAAAATCCGAGTGTTGGACACCTGTTCTGTGATGGCCTCCAATAAGCCAATAACCCCCAGTCTCATCCATCCTTTATGTTCTCTAACCCTGTCACTTGAAAGTGAATGCTGTCACTCAACAACCAGAAATTGAGGAAGTGATCTCTGCTGTTTCTGCCAGGCTTTCTCTAGCTGTGTCCAGCAGGACACAATAAACCTTACCCATGGTTTTGTACCCTGTAGTCAAGAGCAAGGGTTATAACAACAGACATACCTAGATTCAAAGACCTGATCTTTTATGTAAACTTGGCCAAGTCATCTGGTCTCTCTGAACATCTTTTGCTTCACCTGTAAAAGGAAGATAATACCTGACCAATAGTGTTGCTGAGAAGTTAAGTGAAAGGCTGTATGCAAATATCCAGAATAATTCCATCATGTATGTTACCATTATGGTTACTCTAACACAATCTGATCTAGAACTTCAAACTGTAAGACACCTCTCCCTCCATTCCTAGGTCAAGTGTCTAAACTTCCACACATGCCCACTCCTGGGTTCCCTGTCTGGTCTCAGCCACATTTCTCCTGCTTAGCTATGTAGGCCTCCTGTTTGACAACGCCATCTCTTTCAACTAAATCAGTTCCTTTAAAATAACAACTTTGACATGAGGCTCTGTGCTAGGCATTATACATGTGTTACCCCTAGTAAAAGTCCTAGAGGGTAGGTATTAGCATTCCTGTTTTACGGGTGAAAAAACTAAGTCAGTGAGGTTGAGCAACCTCCTCAAGGTCACACAGATTAATGGTGAATGAGCTGGGGTTTGAACTAGTCTGTGTGCAACAGTCACTGTTTTCAGCCATTGCCTATAACCCTGAGAGGCAGGGAGGCCAGGTGTTGTAGCTGCTTTTCATTTTATAGAAGAAGGATCTGAGTCTAAGAGCATGTCAAGACCACGTAGCTGGTCCGTAGCAGAGCCAAGCCTAGAACAAGATCCCAGTGAAAGCAACCCAGCTGGAGTAATTTTAGGTCACTGCAACATGGAGGGATGTCTTTCTGATTCCAAAGGCAGGAAGGAAAAGAAAGAGGAGACTTTTAGCAGTCTTGGCAGGGGGTTACAGTACTCAAATAAAGCCCTTTTGACAAGAATCCATGAAATATCTGTAGTGACAGGGAAGGAGTTGTCCCTGTTGCTATCCTAAGGGAACCTTGAAATGCAAATGTGAAGTGACACTGGAGTGTAGAGTTAGGGAGGAGAACTTCTCATCACATCAGAGAAGACTTCCTAGAGGGATGTCCTGTCATTAGTTCTTGAGGACTGATATAATTTGAACAGGATTGAGGATGCCTGGATGCCTGGCAAGAATATAACCCTGACATTAGATCAAAATATACCAGAAGGCTGGACAGCGAGGCATGACACTTGTGTAGAGTTTGCATGATTAGTGATGTCATTTTAAAGCTATCCTTATTGAATGCTTAGCCTGTGTTTGCTTGTGCTATCTTATTAGATGAATAAAGGGAGGAATGACCATCTAGGACCCAAACTCCCCCTGCATCTGACTTCACAGTCTCCTTGCACTAAGGACCCTCCACTTTCCTCTGCAGGGATCTTCCACAACCTCCCATGGTTCTTGTTGAAGATATAACATGTTTTTTAGTCTCCTGATTTAGTGTTTATAAAATGGTTTCTCACCCATGATGTCTTTAAGAGGTAGATATACTGGAGTATTCCCATTTTACAGTTGAGGAAATTGAGAAATCAGAAGAGGGAAATCAAAGAGGTTTTAATTCATATTGACTTCCTGGAGCACTGTTTTGAGGATTCTAAGCTCAAGTCCAGGGGTTAAGCAAAAGTCAGTGTTTTGTTCAACTAGTGAGGTCTCCCTGGTCATGAAAAGGAGGGTGGTGGCCCACATACTGGTGAGTTCAGGAACTCAACTTTGGTGATTCCCAACCCAGAGCCCTTTCTTCCAGCATGTTCCCCATAGAAGGCTTATGAGAGTAGCACAGGTTTTTAGATACAGGTCAGAAAATAGTGCAAAGTAAAAGCTCTAAGGAGTAGACTGAGAAACGGTCCACCAAAAATTATCTATGTCTTGATCTTGGAATCTGTGAGCATTAAAGTACCTTATATGGCAAAAGAAAGTGAATGGGTTTTTGCACACTTTACTAAATTAGGGATGTTGAGGTTGGGGGGGGGGTTCCTGAATTGTGCAAGGGAGCCCTGATGCAATCACATATACACTTAGGAAAGACAGAGGGATTCTGCCCAGGCAGAAGGTGAAGCAGACAGAGGCTTGGAGACGTTTCCACAAGCCAAGGACAGCCATCCCTAGATTGGGAGAGATGAGGAATGGATTCCCCCCTGTGGGGAGCAACTCGGACTAGACTAAGTTACTGGAATTAAGACTTATTCTATGCATCTGCTCTCCCACAATATGGTGCTGGGAGAGGAGTAAACAGCTTCTACACAGCTGCCTCCAGTTCGACCAGTAACCTGCAGGAGCTGATCCTGCTCCTGATCGGAGGAGAGCAGCGTACTCGGCGTGTGGGTAGCAGAGTTGGGATTGGTTGAAGAGGACTATAAAGGAGGAGAGAGACAACATGCACCAGGAACACCTGAGGAACATCTGAGCAGCCCCCGAGAGAGCTGGCCGGCAGTGTTCCGCTCCCCCGCGGAAGTGGGGAAAGTGGCAGGGGGAACCGCCCTTCCACGGAGGTGGAAGGGACAGCAGCCAACCCGGGAAGGACCAGCAGCAAACCCGGGAAGGGCCGAGAAGACAAAAGAACAGTGCAGGGTCCTGTGTTGTTCCTCCACGAAGAGGGGGAGCGACACCCCCCAAGCAGCTTTGGAAGGCATGCAGCCTTGCTGATACCTTGACCTTGGCCCAGGGATACTGATTTCAGACTTTTGGCCCCTGGAACTGTGACAGAAGGAATTTCTGTGGTTTTAAGGAAACAACTCTGTGGTAATTTGTTATGACAGTTACATGAAATTGATATACCCACTAAGTATTATTTCCCTTCTCTTCCCAATCTTTCTGAACTCTGTAGCACACATGTGCACACACACACACACACACAACACATATGTATTTCCATTCCATTGCCAGTAGGAAAGACCTCTTATAAGTAAATATGCTTTAAACAGAATCTAATGCTTAGTAAGACTGTATTCAGATATTTATTACACAAAGATATTTACCCTACTGGATACTAATTAAAATTTAATCAGTTTGCTCCATTTTCTACCTGTACATAATCTGCTGTTTCCTTTAGTCCATTTTCAATATCCCATGGATAGGATAACAGTCTTTTGAACAAACACAAACCTTTCATTCTAAGAGGAAGGCTTTGCCTCCATAACTTGCAAGAGGTTATTTTTTATTTTTGTTTTGGAGGTGTTTCAGCTGTAATTTTTTTCTCCTCTGGTAAGGAAGCAGAAGTTCAATGTGCCATAAAATTAGCACACACGTCAAATAGTCCAAGGCCAGCAAACTGCTAACAATAAATCATGTAATCTCAGCTCGTTACCTGTGGAGCCTGAGTTAGAAAGGAAAATCCATTATGAGAAATGAAAGTCTTAATAATGAAACCTTAGTCGTGGATGGATGTGTGTTGGAGAGGCTATATGAAATATGACTTGGAGAGGCTTAGAATGTTAATATCTGAGGATTCAGAACATAGCTGTCAAAGATAATCACAATGCAAATATTAAACTGTGAGTGAATGCACCATTTTTTTTAATATTCCACACACGCCATACTCAGGAGAAAACACCTCCCGCAAGGAGACACAGAAGGCACGGAGCTAGCAGAAAAGCCATTGCCAAAAGAGCTTCCGCAAAGGTTTCCACCAGGCTACAGGTCCTTGATGGCCAGTGGTTCTTGGTGCTCTATTTGGCTGGAAGAAGTTTCAGGAGAGCTTTACCACACCGCTCCTCACCTTGTTTCACAGATGAGGATCCCTAAGGTCAGTGGTCTAGAGTTAATCAGTGCGTGGCAGAAGCCTTACTCCCAGGCCTCTGTCTCCCCCATGTAGCACACTGCCTGCTAGGTGCTCTTGTTTAATCAAGTTAGTCTGTAACAGGCGTGCATTGAGTGGGACTGAGAACCCAGCCACTGCACACTTGGCTGTTTCAGAGGTTAGTGCCATGTAGAGTATGCCTTACTGATTACCCTTAGGAAACAAGGTTTAAGGTAGGTTGGGGGCACTAGAACATTGACAAATGAACAGCACTTCAGTAGGTCCTCTCTGACCTAACATAATCTCAAATCACTGTTGTCTTAAAGGAACCTCACCTGAGCTCTAGCTTCACACACCTTCATCACCATAACAATAAGATCAAACTCTTCCATCCTAAGCAAATGCAGCTTTTATCCAGCAAGTGGGTGGGTACTCTGTTTCTGAGATGGAATGATCTACTTCAGTAGCTGAAGAGTCCTGAAAATGACGATCACTCTGGTAAGTCCTGGGGAAGCATGGCTGAGGAAGTCCTTGTCAGGAAGGCTCTGAGCCACTGCTTAGTAAGGTTCTCAAGTAGTCAGACAGCAGCTGAGGGTATCTCAGCGAGTGATCACTATGGTGAGGCGGTTGTCCATTGTCCTCAGAGCACTTGTCAGCACAGTGTTGATGGTTATAGTGAACAGTCTACCCTGGAGCAGTTCCAGACTTCTCAACAAATGATCAAATAGTAAACAGAAAAACAAGCAGCATCAGCAATATTGATTGATTGATTCATTTATTCACTCAACCAATTCTTTCTTCCTCATGGATCCATGTGTTCTTTTTTTAAAAAGATTTATTTTGTTAATTTGAAAGGCAGAGTTACAAAAAGAGGTAGAGATAAATAAATAGATAGATCGATCGACTGATCAATCAATCAATCTTCCATCTACTGGCTCACTCCCCAAATGGCCACAACCATAAGAGCTGAGCCTATCCAAAGTCAGGAGCCAGGATCTTCTAGGTTTCCCAAGTGGGTGCAGGGGCCCAGGGACTTGGGGCCATCCTCTACTGCTTTTCCAGGCATATCAGCAGGGAGCTGGATTGGCAGTGGGGCAGCCGAGACTTGATCTGGCGCCCAGATGGGATGGCAGTGCTGCAGGCTGGGGCTTTAACCCGATGAGCCACAGCAACGGCCCAGTTTGTATGTTCTTTAGGAGAGGGGTTTAGCTAACACTTCTCTCTACTCTCTGCTTTCCCCTCACCACTTCCTTCTCTCATCTCAAAGAAAAGGTGAGAGACTTGTCTAATAAAAGAGCTTGAGGGACAAGGCTGCACACCCTGCTCAGCCACTGAGTCTTCTGTTTGGAATCTGCCTGCCTATGAGCAGCATTCCTTTTGATCCATTTCTTGTGCTCAGACACTTACATGCTTGCAATGGTTCAAGGTCACTGAAAATTGTGATTGGAAAAGTTTCTAATTAGAGAGTAAAGTAGGGGCTGGCACTGTGGTGTAGCCAGTAAAGCTGCCACCTGCAGTGCCAGCATCTCATATGGGTGCTGGTTTGAGTCCCGGCTGCTCCACTTCTGATCCAGCTCTCTGCTGTGGCCTGGGAAAGCAGTAGAAGATGGCCCAAGTCCTTGGGCCCCTGCACCCATGTGGGAGACCTAGAAGAAGCTCCTGGCTCCTGGCTTCAGATCAGCCCAGCTCCAGCTGTTGTGGCCCTCTGGGAAGTGAACCAGCGGATGGGAGATCTCTCTCTCTCTCTCTCTCTCTCTCTCTCTCTGCCTCTCTGTAATTCTGCCTTTCAAATAAATAAATAAATCTTTTAAAAAATAAACTTAAATTAAAGAGTAAAGTATTAGAAGTTCATTGGCTGGAAGACCTAGGCCCCTGCTCGATTACCAGTTTTCATCACTCATAAAGCTGGCATTTCTATCTTTATGGGTCTCACTTTTGAGTGTGTCTACCTTAATGAGCTCTTAACTTGAGTGGAGAAAAGAAAGTGTTACTTCTTAACTTTCACCATTGTTTTAAAAAACAGGCTTGTGAATAAACCGTGTGAGGACAAACAATTAGGTTGAGTAGGATGAGGTCCCATATCATCAAGGACTCGCTGTCAGTGGGGATAAGGAAAAGTAGGGTGACCAACTCACCTTGGTTTTAGCACTGCAAGTCTAGCATCCCATGGACCCTTCAGTCCCAGGAAAATTGGGATGGTTGGTCACCTACAAAACAAATAATTCATTATGGGATAATGCAATAACATCATAATGATGTCCCTAAGGGAGAACAGGGAACTTCCTGAGAGAATAGGGAAGTTTGCAGAGGACGAGGCATTTACCTGGAGTTCTGAAGGGCAGGGATGTGGGGGTGTAAATGGGAGAACTGGGTTGGAGTAGAGCTAGTCACGGTACATCCAGTAGGTAAATTTCAAAGAAGCCAAGCACTCTTTTTTTTTTAAGCTCCCATGGTAAATTAGCCAACCTGAAACCTAAAATCAACCTCCTAAGTTCTTAAACCAAGCCCATATCCCTCAAGACCCATAGCCAGTTTTCTCGTTAAAGAAACATCTTATGATTTCTCAGTGGATGAGGAAGGAATCATGCTTTATTCTTATTATTCTTCCCAGGAGTATCTGTGACCATCTGGAATTAAAAGGCCATGGCCCCAAAAAATAGAATAAAAAAAATGGAAGTTCCTGACATTTGAAATATGTGTGTAACTCACACCCAAAACCACCTCTGGAGAATGGCTTTGCAAACTGACTGATGCAGATGTGCAAAATTCAACTGCTTCGCCTCATATCAGGGCACATTCTTACATCCCACCTTACACCCCAGAACTCCCCATGGCCAGACTCTGTCTGAAATCACATCCTTGCTCTAATTCTTCTTCCCTGTATTAGTCAGGGTTCTCCAGAGACACAATAGGATGGATGGATGGATAGATAGATAGATAGATAGATGATAGCTAGCTAGTTAGATAGATAGATGTTAAATAATGGCTTATGCAATTGTTGGGGCTAGCAAATCCAAAACCTGTAGGACAAGTCAAGTCAGTGTGCTAGAAGCTAGATTCAGCCAATAAAGTATTGGTGAGAATTTGGAGGACCGGATGAGAGAAGAGCCTTATTTCCTGATTCATGCTTCTGAAAGCATCCTTCCTGCCTGCATGGAAGCAAACGAGGCTTTTCATTTATTTATTTTTGGCACTTCCAGCACCCGTAGATGGAGCTACTTCTTCAGAACCTAAGCAGCTCTCCAGCTCCACCACAGTCTCACAATCAGTCTCATTTGGAAAACCTCGGTGGCTCAAAGTACCAGCCCCAGCCTACCCTCCTCCCTAGTTCTGGACCCAGTAAAACTGCCTCCACTCTTGTTCCCCCAGCCTCATGATGGCAGCGTCTTCCAGCAGTTACTAAGCTCTAGGTCAACTCCAAGTCCATATTTTGCTCTTTTATCCCTTCTAACACTGTGTTACCACTTTCCCATGCTGAAGTCCTTTTGTTTAAAACATCTAGAGAGGTGTATGTTCCTATGAATATACCCTACCAACCTTGACTGATATTTAGACCCTCAACAAATACTTGTTAAACAAATAAACCGTGGCCCCAAGCTTGTATTTTTAGACTCATAATTCAAAATAAAGAAACTTCCTAACATCCATAAATTACACTGAAGGAATGTAACTAGACCTGCTTGACCACATGCCCCTCCCTGTGGACAAAGGGATAGAGCACCTGTTGGGTCAGGACTGGCTCATAGCCTCAGTTCCATGGCTCACACAGGGATCTGATATTGACATTGATAATGATAGTGCCACCTGAACCACTAGAGATGAGAAACAGGGACTTCTCAATGGAAGACAGGAGCTGGGCTGACAAAAACAACACTTTTCCCATCACAGTGTACTTGCAGTCTTCAGGGGGAAGCAGGCACATTGGAAAAATGGCTATAATGCAATATGGTGACACATCACCTGTTCTGGGAGCACAGAGGATCGCTGTTTCCACAAAGCTCATTCACACACACTATATAACTGGTTCCTCATAATGCTGGCCACTGTGAGGTCAACGTTCTCATCCCCATTTTATAGAATCCTCTTTGGCCCCCTTCTCTTTTTGGTTCCAAGCTCCCTCTTATGTCTTTCCCCTGGCCAGGCCACACCAGCCCCAGCTGCAAGATTTTCCCCACTTTGTCTCCATGCCAGTTGAGGAATGGTTGGAAGGACAGCATTTAAGGGTGTCATCATTCCTTCAAGTTTCTAACAGGCTGCCCTGTAGCAGGCACAGGAATGTCTGTGACCTCAGCAGCCAGAAATAGGACTAACTATAAATTTGTAGTGAAGTAGAGTTCTGCTTAACATAATGAGAGGACGGAGGGCAGTGAGTATCCCAATGCTGTGGGGAGATAGTGTCAGCAGCTTTTATGGGTTGTGGGAAAGTGGGAGAACCCTGACTCAGGCAACAGACTGAGTAGAACTTGTACAGATCCTATGACTATGAAATGACTTCTTACTTTCTCCACTGCCTTCCTGGGCCACAGCAGAGAGCTGGATTTGAAGAGGAGCAACCGGGACAGAATCCGGTGCCCCAACAGGGATTAGAACCCGGTGTGCCAGCACCGCAGGCGGAGAATTAGCCTAGTGAGCCATGGTGCCAGCCATATGACTTCTTACTTTCTGCCCACACCTTTCATTGAAGTTAGAATCCTTGCAAGTCTGATCCAAGATTCGGCGTTAACACTAGATGATAAATTGAGCAAAAAGTAAATCATAATGACACAGTAGTTTAAAAAGTCATGCAATGATAAAAAGGGCATGTCACAGGGATGTTAGGCAAACTTTTATGCATCTTTAAGTCTTTTAAACTGCCTCAGATTTTTCCAGAGTTTTTAGTTTCATGTTTATCATTTTAAAAAATAATTGCATTTTTATCCATTTAACATGACTACGCATGGTTGAAAATATCCTTGTTGATTTTAATATTGTGCTTCAGACTGAAGGAAAGGACCCGGATGGGGCAGGAAGTGAGGTCTGATAAGAGGGCAGGGTTCCTGGGCCCTGGGAGGCCCAGGACCACTCTTGGTCCATCATCCCCAGTTCTGCATTGAGGTAGGAATGAGGAGCCACTCCTCCATTCCTGAGACAGGAGTCGGCCTGTTTAGCAGGCTGACAGTCTCCTATGTGGGACCACAAAGATGTCTGGGACTGGGATCCAACCAACGTGGCTTTGCAACTGAGGACTCCCTTCTTCATCTGTGACATAGGAGGAACGCCACTGGGGTGCTTCTTGCCCGTCTCCCAAACCTCTACTCAGGTGTGCTGTGTCCAAAGCCCCATATTTCAGATGAGGAAACTAAGACCTAGGGGAGTCCTCCGTCTTGCCACAGGCTACGCAGCCAGCAGTGAGCCTTATAAAGCCCTGACTCCTGGCCTAGCAAGCCTTTCACTGTCCCACATACCTCCATTGCTTTGGCTCCCGGAAGCCATGCCAGGGAAAGGCAGGCTCTTGCCTCGGGTCCTCTGTGGGCCTGTGGCGTGGCTGCGCTCCGATCACAGCTGGAGGCCTGGCCTCTGGTGCCTTGTATTCAGGTCACCCAGCAACACAGTGTCTGGATTCTTCTTTCTGGTCTGCCCCACCCTGGGGACAGGCCAGGCCCGAGAGCTGTTCCTCGTGAGGTTATGTGAGGCCTCCGCAGCCTGGAGGCACTTGCACTCCTGAACTGGCTGGCGCGGGTACCTGTGTCATGGGCTCCCTCCACACTCCCTCCCAAGGCCCACAACACAGGGGACAAGTGAGCTATGCTGTTCCTGAGGCACCCCTAAGGGGAGTAGGACATGTGTGGAATCTGAAAGTGAGTCATGTGACTCACTGGAATTAGGAGCCACTGGGCCCTGGGTTAATCTCCAACTGACAGCTCTTTCTCCCCAACTGTGATCTTAGGATGAGTTCTTGAAAATCCTTCCCACAACAAGCATTTATTGAGTGTTTACCGTGTGAAGGCTCTGGGGACATTGCAATGAACAGAAAGGTCGCTTCACTCAGTCACAGACTAGAGGCAGAGGCAGGTGAGGGAACAGAGAGCCCTGCTACAGCAAGACACGTGCCATGCTAGAACGCCATGGGGTGGACAGGACGACACAGCCCGGGAATCACAGGAGGCTTTCACGAGAGGGGACACCCAATCCAATCCTCTTCCTTCCTCTCCCTGACTCCCTGTTATTTACCAGGCGCTGCCCTAGGAGCCAAGGGGAGTTTGCTCTGCATTCCCAAGACTCCACCAGGAGGTCTTTGACCAAACCTGGAAATAAGTCAAGCCTGTGTTCTCCCACTCCCTGACACTTTCGTTTTCTACTTCTCTAGTCTAGCAGCTTCCTTCACGTTCTCCTGGCTGTGCAAAGTCCCTCATTATCCCACCCTGGCCTCTCCCTCTAGTTCCAGAATGACTGTGAGCGTATAGCTCTCTCCTCCCACTTTGAAACTGCTCTTTTCTCCTTGCCACTAGATGCATCATCACAATGAGCAGAATTCTTACAGCCCTTACCTTCTGCTGCTTGGGTTGCATTATGTCTCCCCACAAGATAAGTGCAAGTCCTAACCCCTGGCACCTGTGGCTGGGACTTTTATTTGGAAATACGATTTTTGCAGAAATCAGCAAATTGAGTTCATACTAGATATGTGGGCCTCTAATGCGGTGTTTGTTGTCCTTGCTGGACAAGGAAAATTTGGGCACATGAACGGTGTACAGGAAGAATGCCATGGAAGAGATAGAGACCAGAATGACTGCAAGCCAAGGCATGTTGAGGATGGCAGCAGCTGCTGGCTGGAAAAAGGCCAGCAAGGGTCCTCCCCTAGAGGCTGCAGAGAGAGCACAGCCTGGCTGGCAGCTTCATCTGGGACTTTTAGGCTCCAGAACTGTGGGGAAGTAAATTCCTGTTGTTTGAAGCCACCTGTTTTGGTGTTTTGTTGTAGAGCCTTAGGAAACTAGCATAGTCCCCCTGAATGTGCTAGTTTGCTTAAAAGGGCAAATTAATCTCTATTCGGTGGGAAGCCAGGCAGTGCAGGCCCGTGTCTAGGTGACCCATCTCCACCTACAGACCTCGATAAAGCCCTTGGGGATTGCAGCAAAAGCAGACTACTCCATCACAGCTGAGTGATCAAGGTAAACAAGCGACTGAGGGCCTCCCAAGCCACTGAGTAAGTGGCTCTCCTTTAAAAATATGAATTAAGAGGCACAAAGACTGTAACAAGCATGTGGTAGGAGATGGCTATTGTCAACATCACGTGCAAGCAGAAGTAGTAGGCAGGGAAGTAGGAACCCTGAGCGAGCCTAGGACACCACTCTGGAGAATAGAACAGATGTCCAGAGACACAGAGACAGTGAGGGAGAGGTAGCTGCCTTGGTTCCTGCCCTCTAATGGAGTCCAGAGTTTTCAGTAAGCAACAAGGAGCCACAGCAGTTTCAAGAGGTGGCAGAAGTTCACTATCATTTTATTCAGCATTCTGCCTCTCCTGCCATCCCACTGATGACCTTACTTACAAACTACATCCCCGGAAGTCAGACTCATCAGGGACTTAGCCACTTAGGGAAGATCCCAGGTCTTGTCATGTTTCTCTATTTATCCAAAGCACAATGTGCAATAATTATATTTAGAAATGAGATGACAGTTAACCAATTCAGCCTCAGATGGCACCACCTTCTATATTCCTGAGTAGCTTTTACCACAGCCAGCCAGCTTGGCCAATCAGCTCAGACACCACTCTACTGCTGTAACCGGAGCTTGAGCTAACCAGAGGTTTAACCAGTACCTTATCGTCTGGTGGTGCAGAGCTGATGGAATGCAGCTTTTCTCTTCCACACAAAGATTTTCATGTGTCAGACAAAGTGGTGGTGGAGAGAGGTGAACAACCACTCTTAACTATATGGTACCTGTTAAAACTGGGACTACCATCCTGTGGAACCCTGGTCATTTTACTTCTTGCAAAGTCATAAATATCCCATAGCTGGGTTCATGATCAATGTGAAGGCAGAGTTTTCCAGAAGATTTTCTCAGTTGCCTTTGTAACACGTAACAGTTGACACTTATAGAGCACTTACTGTATGCATGTTATATACATTGCTTCCTTTAATCCTTAAGTTTAATCCTCTATAAAATGACACTGTTACTATTTCCATATTAAGGATGAACATGTGGAGGCTCAAATTGTATGGTCTCTTGCAATGCAGTTGCTTTCTAAAATCTGTGGCCCACCTCAATTCCCCCAATTAGGTATAACTTGGAAAACATCTTGGAAAAAGTACCTGTATGAACTTTTAAAGGCCTTAAAGCTGAATGAACTTCCTGGGATCTGAACTTCTTTCTTGCCAGCGACTGTGTTGACAGGGTCACAGCAAGGAGACAGCACTGCCCTTGTTATTGGATGCTCTTGGCCTCAGCTCTTTGACATTGCCTAACATTATGCTCTCTGGCACTTGCTTAAGCTCCCTGCGCCACAGTATGCACAGTGAAAGGTTCATCTTCGCTCCATTTCACAGAGCTGTTAGGAAACTCAATATAAGCAGAAGCATTTTGCAAATCATGTAGAACCAGGGACAGGATTCTTGGTCACAGATCAACATTTTTGAGCACTTAGCCTGTGTTAGGAACCATGCAAGGTGCCAGGGATACAAGTGAAAGTGCATGACATGATTGTCACCTCTTCAACAACTATATATGGAGAAGCTCCCATGGGCCAGGTACTGTGCTGTGCATGGGGGATGCCAGTGTGTCTGAGAGAGGTCCAGGTGCTGCGCTCACAGACTGGCATTGCATGAGAAGACAGATGTTCTAAATGTGAATGCAATAAAGCAGTAATGCGGTGATAGGAGGACCACAGGGTACTACTGGGGCCCTTAACATGGCGTCCTATCCTGTTCTAGGAGTCCAGGAGGCCCTTCCTGCGGCGGTGATGTTTAAGTATCTTCTAGGAACACAGACACTGGCAGAGATGGCTACATAAGCCAATAAACATTCAAGTATGACATTTGGATAAGAAGTAAGGAAGGCAGTCTTGCCACTGCTCTGTATCAAAGCAAACTTATTGTCCAATCCTAAGTGTTGGCATCACAACTGGTCACATATCCAGAAAAATTTTCCATAGAATTAAGGCTTAAAATAGTAACAAGCCAAAAATAGCAGGAACACTCCCTGATATTATCTTCCTCTCTCTCTCTCTAACACACACACACACATACACACACACAAATTCAATTAATCTGGCAAAGAAAATACACAATGTATACCATGTGTTCCTAACCCAGTTCATGTGAACTGTGGTTCTTGATCTTATAATGGATCTTGGTGATTTGCATGCAAAAGGAAGGGCTTTTAACTTTTCTTGGGTGTGGCTTTTCAATGGGTAGAAAGCAAGAGTTCAAAGTAAGACTGCTAAGCAATCCCTGCCCCATTGCCCAGCCTCGAGTCCAGAGAAGCTATGAATTTGGTGATTGTTAGAAAGCTGAGGTTACCCAAGGGCTGGTGAGAACAGATGCCCCAGTCCTGCTTTCACTACTACATGGGACAAATCAGTTTTCCTCCCTGAGACTCAGTTTCCCCATTTATAAATACAGGAAATTAAGAAAGTCATTTTCAGCACTTTCATGACTTTCAGAAGAGGATTCTCTACCCCAACTGTCTCCCGCAGGTTAAAGTGAGTCCCTGTGTTATAATCTTGGCCCTTTTCACTTTTAGCACCTATCATCATCTCTATTTCTTTCTTTAAAATATTTTGTAAGATTTATTTTATTTATTTGAAAGAGTTCAGAGGTAGAAAGAGAGAGAGAGAGAGAGAGCAAGAGAGTTCTATCCATTGGTTTACTACCCAAATGGCTGCAATGTCTGGAGCTGAGCTGATCCAAAGTCAGGAGTCAGGAGCTTCTTCCAGGTCTCCCACCTGGGTGCAAGGACCTAACAACTTAGACCATTCTCCGCTGTTCTCCCAGGCACATAAGCAGGGAGTGGGATGGGAAGTGAAGCAGCTGGGACTCGAGCTAGCACCTATATGGGATGCAAGTGCTCAAAGCTGGGGCTTTAACCCGCTGCGCCGCAGTGCTGGGTCCCTCTGTTTCTTTTTATCTATGTATCTCCCTCACGCTGAACCCTAGAAGAGTAAAGGCTGCATTGTCTACCACTTTACTCATATGCTACAGCCTGTACCTCCAACATAGCAGGAACTCAGCAAGCATTTATTGCCCAAAGAATGCAAGTGCTCAACCTCTCTCTGCCCCTCTGCCTTGGAGCTGGTGTTTGTGAGAAGCCCTCTGAGGATATGTGTGGCGTTTCTGACATTTCAAAGGGTCATTTCCATACTACCATGGAAATGATTACATCCATAAGTCCCCGGTTCAAAGAAGCAGCCCTGTACTTTCCAGAGGTGTGGAAGAAACAAAGCCAGGATCCAAAGTTCAGTTGGCACGAAGTCAGTTACCACCCACATTGTGACAGTCAGGATTAGCAAAACTGAAGAAGGATTTTTTCAATTTAAGAATTATTAAACATTGTTGGAGTGATTTATGAAGTCAAGCCACTGTTGCTGTCATCCTATGATCCATTTTTCCATGGTTCATTTGTTCATTTGTTTCAACACTTCCTCTCAGACTTTCCCTTGTGCCAGACCTTGTGTGAAGCATGATGGAAACGCAAAGATCAATACGCACCAAGAGCCCACAGCGGTGGAAAGGGAAGAGGGGGTCAGGCTGACTGTGAGAAGGACGGCTTTGTGGATCCATTTGATTACAGTCTGCCTCTTGCTGCCAGACAGCAAGCCCCAGTCAGCCAGGGAACAGATCTCTCTGTCTTGCTCAAGGATTCAACATATATCAGGAGAATGAGGAAACAGCATCCACCCAAAGAAATCAGAAAATGCTCAGGGACATTGGAAAGGTACAACTTAGCTTCAGCTGGAACAAATTAAACAATCAAGGCCAAGAGGGGCCACAGAGATTGGCACTCCCAGCCTCCACCCTCGTGCCTATTCTACAAATAAGGAAATTGTCACAGAGAGATATAAAGTCATTTGCCCATGGTCACACAGTGCTATGGGATGAATTTTGCCCCTGTGAAATTCATATATTGACGTTTTAACCCTCAGTATCTCAGAATGTGACTGTATTTGGAGATACGGTCTTCGAAGAGGTTACAGAGTTCAAATGCAGTCATGGGGGGAGGGTGCTCCAATCCAACTTAACTGGTGTGCTTACAAGCAGAGGAAATTAAGATGCAGACTCAGAAAGAGAGACCATGTGAGGATATAGGGTGAAGATGACCGTTGGTAATCCAAGGAGACAGGCCTCCAATGAACTCAACCCCACTAATGCCTTGATTTTGGACTTCTAGCCACCGGAAGTGCAATACAATAAATTTCTATTGT